ACGCAGAGCTCGACCGCCTCGACCGCGACGAAGGCGATGCCAGTGCGCCGCCACGCCGGGTGACGGCCCGGCCCACCAAGGCGCAGCTCGAACAGCGCGCGGGCGGCCTCGAATTCGAGTTTGAAGCCGTACGCCTGCCGCTCTGGAGGCATTCTATATCCAATCACAAATCTCTTTTTTCTAGGTGCTCGGGTACCTCGACGCGTCGATCCGCGGCGACGACGACGTGCGTATCGTGCGCAAGCAGATCGTCGGCGCCATCAACGACACGCACCTCAAGCGCATTGATGCGTTGCGCCAAGAGCTCGCCGCCAACTAGATCGCCAACACTCTACTGTCGTTACTACATGGTGGATGTACAATCTCCGAGTTTTGTCATTGTTCGTCTTCACGCATCAGCACTGGGCTGGAGGCGTGCAAAGCAGGTGTGCATGTGCACACAGCCGCGCGCGATCCCGAGGTAGCAGCTCGCTTGCTTCATCATGCCGATCTCGCGGAGGTCTTTTGCGAGCTCGTACGCTTGTTCAAAGTACCGCGCGGCCTTTTCGTGCGCGAGCTCGCGCGTCGCGAGAAACCCGAGTTGCATCCACGCGTTCACTTCGGCCGACCGGTCCTGGACCGTCTGGATGAGCTGGAGGTGCTGGTCCATGCACGCGCGGGCCGTCGCCACGTCTCCCTACGCTTTTTGTGAGTCTTTCCAGACAGGCTGATGGAACCACGGACTTGGCGACTCGCGAGAAGCCCGAGGTTACCAACTGCAATGCTTTGGCCATAGGCACTGTTGAGTCGGATCGCGAGTCGCAATGCCTCTTGGTGGTGCTTCGCCGCGTCGGCAAACTAAAAAGTACAAGTAGCTCGTCGCAGCAGCAGCACGAGGAGCACTATACGCGTCCGAGGCTTCCGAGCGTCAAGCCGAGGTTGGTGTGCGCCACAAACGTGCCAGCGTCGTCCATGTTGAGGTCGAGGTGGTTCTGATGGAAGATCAGAGCTTGTTCAAGCTCGGGGCTCTCGGGCGATAGGAACCGCCCCGTGTACGCCGTGTGCCCGGACGCGAGAAGCTACTCCAGTCCATCGTCGCACTCTAGTTGAGTCTGTCATACTTGGTAGTCGACGCCAATGCACGAGTGCACAAGGCCTTGGAACGCCAGTTTGTCCGAGTTCTTGAGCAGCGCCAGAGCTTTCTTGTACATGTCGATCGCGCGCTCCAACTCTTCGACGTTGTCGTGGATGATGCCCATGCTACTTGCAGCAGTTGTGGCACACAAACACACACCATCATGCGATGTCGTACGCAAAGTAGGCGGTCGCTTCGGCTTCGGTCCGGCCCGCGCGCTTGCTCGACGCCGCCTAATCGCAGCGTCGCTCTTAGCTTTTCACCGATGGTTTTTAAAAAGAGGGAACGTACGAGCATCGCATAGTCCTTCAGGCGCTTGGAGTCGTGGGCGGTCTCGAGCGGCTGGTCCAAATTGATCGCCTCGGGCGGCAGCGGAATGCTGTGCGTGAGCTCGTACTTCCGCTTGGCGATGGACCGCACAGAAAAGACGAGCTGCCGCACCCGAGCGTCCCGCGTCATGCTTGGGAGGCGCTCGGGCGTGTTCATCTACGGACCATTGCTTCAAGAGGCTTGAGACGGGGTGCGTGGTACAATCAAGGGGGCGTCCATGCGCTGGGGCAAATCGATTTGCGGCGTCGCCTCGGCCAGCTGGGACCCTTCGTCGACCTGCGACGGCGGGTGAAAGTCGCTATTAGCTCAAATCATACATCTGGTTGAAGCGATGGTGGGCCTACACGGGGGGCATCAGCGGCTTGCCATCGCGGATCATTGCAGTTGAAACGGCGACCCGAAAGGAAACTTGCTGGGTGCCATAAACGGTCCGAATCCCAATTTTATGGCGTTTTGCCGCAATTTCAGCGACGGTCTCGTGGCCCGCGTCCCAGAAGGCGACAACGGTCGTCGTAGCATACAAGGCCAGCGCACTCAGTCTCGTCTTGAGTCGCATGGTGGCGGTGGTGTCTTGAGAATGAGTAACTAATCAGTCAGTGAATCTGGAAATTGAGGGCTTGAAGTCGTGCCGCGCATCGTCGATGCACCTGGTATGGAGTGTAGTACGACGCAAGCATGCGAGATGCTGGTCGTACGCAGCGTCTATGGGATCGCATCTCGAGTGTACTACGCTGAGCTGTACGAGGTGCCACTGCGTCACGACGACGAGCAGATAGAGAGTCCCACATTGAGGTGCCCCGTCGTTTTGCCGTCCGCAAACAAGACTGTCTGGAGCGGAAGAGAATCGAAAGCGTTGGGCATTTTATCGGTCGAGGAGGAAAGGCGGTGCACTGTCCAGTGCCTTTGGCTGCAACCCATTCCACGCGCTATCAGCTCAGCTATTACGCGTACAATCGTGAGTTTGGCTTGTGCGATTTCGTGAGGTAGGTCCCATGCGGTGGTACCGGTAGTTGCCGCTACTGACATTTTGTGTGAATCTGATTTCATACCGGTACTGTCGTCCATCTCTGGTTCCTAGCGAGTCCACTGTGGTACCGGTACTCTGCTGCGCGACCAACTCGGCTGAACTCGACCAGCAGTCTAAGGCAGTGTCGTCCGGCACTTAGGCCAAT